TTTCCATGGTTACCATAGGTTAGCTGAAAAAAGTTGATGATTGAGATTAAAACAAATTTGAGCAACAGGAACAAATGATGTGTTTCTCTTTGCAAATAAGGTGTGTTACGATCTAGTGGTTGGTAGAAATTGTGGTTACAGCATATTTGTTTTCATAATTGATTATTGTTAAAGGTGTGGAGTTATACAAGTGGGTGACAGAGTTCTTTCTGTGAATGGCAAGTGTACTGAAGATCGAACGCTAGAAGAGTCTGTGCAAGTATTTCGGGACTCTGGTACACAATGTTCCATGGAGATTGAATTTGATGTCGCTGGTGAGTAATTACTTAGCTATACCTCATGAATATACAGTACAGTTATCGCATAGGATTTGACGTTTGTGGCATTGTCGCCTACACATGGCTTCATTGTCGCCTACACATGGCTTTATTGTGACATCAGCTTTGCGTCATTGAAAATTGAAGCTGTGTTCGCCTAACTTATTTTGTTGCATCATCATGGCTTCCGCTTCGCAGTCTCATGGCATCAACATGGCATCAGCTTCAAAGTATTGTGACATCAGTATGACCTCATTACATGTAAAGAAGATTGATATGTAATCAATCCTCAAAAAAGCGAGCCCAAGATCAAGTTCTGCACGATCGGTTAGATACAGCACACCATACTAAACTCGGCACGATCATAGGTGTGATTTGTGTGTGTATGTGTACATATATCTGATATCTGTTGATTTCACAATATTTATACATGTATGTACTTGTAGCTGGTAATTTTGTAAAAAAAAATAAAAAACCTCAGCGACAACCCGATATCTAAATACATGTTGTTTAGATGATATGCGAGTAGTTTTTTAATGCAACTAACGTTACAGAAATGACTGTTTTGAACTTACATGTAGATAATATAATAACCACTTTTGTTAAGATATAAATGTCAAGTGAGGACAGAACATATTATCCATGTCCCGAGTTCAAACGAACTTCAATAGAATTTTTTTTATTTAAATCCCAGTGCGGTAACAGTGTCGGCGAGAGCTAGACGCATCAAAATAAAAATATAAAGCTGTCTAGCTGGTTGCCATGACGTAAATTTGTTATGGCATTGCCAGCCAATGGTAGCTATGGATTTACGTAACTCTGTTGTTACTTTGTACTAAACCTGGTCAAAGTAATTCACATTCGTTTTGTTTACCAGATTTAAAAAAAAAAAACATAGTATGATGCCTTTACATTTTAAAAACTTGCTGATCGAATTTTTAGAAATCAACATTCGATCTCTTCCTGGTGTCTACCTACTTGATTCCAATGGCCGTCAAGGAAACAATTCGTCGCTGAACAAAATCAGTCAAACTTGATAATTGGATGAATACAGCTTGCGTGTAAGACAGCAAAGAGTATCTGTGTGAATACATATACGGCTGACTATGATACTTCTCAGCATTGTAATAATAATAATAATAATAATTTTATTAACACTTACACATTCCCCGGAGGGATTGGCAATGGTTACAAAAGTTTAAAAAGGAATAAAAGGTTACAAAACAGAAAATAGATAATAAAAAAAAC